CCCCCTCAAAGCAGAAATCAACTTCTGTCCACTTCTGCAGAGAATTTTTGGAATCATTTTTGCCAGCCCAAGTGGCCCCTGGAGAATGGGCCTCCTGACCTATCTGGGCCTCCAGATCTATCAAAGCTGCTTGGGACACATGGGACTCGGATGTGGAACTGAACACTCTCTTTATCTAGTGTCAACTGGCTTCTGTTTTTCCACGTATTTGAGCACGGAGGCTTTGGGAACAGCTGCTCGGCACCACCAGAGGTCAGTCGTGAAACACAAGAGACTTTAGGACTGATTCACTATAGACACTTTCGGTTTGTTCAGGCAAGCATACTACTGTACTAGCAGAGAATAGCAAAGACTTGGAAGGATTACCCAAGAAAGTCAAAGGAGAAACTGCCAAGGCAGGTTTACAGCTGAACATTTAGAAAACAAATATAATGACCACTGATTATTTAAATAACTTTAAAGTAGACAATGAAAGCAAAGCAAAGCAAAGCAGCTTACTTATATACCGCCTCATATCACGCTATAGGATGTCTAAGCGGTTTACAAATGTGAGCTGATTGCCCCCCAACAATCTGGGTCCTCATTTTAGCGACCTCAGAAGGATGCAGGCCTGAGTCGAGCCTCAGCCCTGGCTGGTATTGAACTCGCAACCTTGTGGTCTATGAGTGAGTGGCTGAAGTACAAGCATTTCCCTGCACAGAAAACCTCTGGGTGTGTGTGTGTGTGTGTGAAAAATGTACAGATTAAGTTATGACCTGAACACAGTAGAAATAATGCAGTTTGACATCATTTTAACTGCCACAGTTGCATCCTACAGAATCCTGGGAATAGCAGTTTAGCAAGGCACCAGAACTCTTTGCCAGAGAAGGCTAAAAATCTTGCCAAACTACAAATCCCAGGATTTCATAGGATAGAGCTACAGCACTTAAAAGTGGTGTCAAACTGCATTATTTCTAGAGTGTAGATGCAGCCTAAGTCTCTCACACTGGGAAGGAAATTGTGTGAGCTAATCATTCCTCCTGGTGAGAAAGAATAACTGCCAAGATTAGATCCCTACTCCTCTGCCATCCCTAGACAGCAAAACTACGTTTCCCAAGAGAAAGTGAGGTGGGTGGATGTAGGCAGCAAAAGGACAGCTTCATCTATCAGTCAAAGCACAAACAGAAATGCTGTAAAGGAGCTAAAATACCGAGCTCCATCTCTCCGAGAGCAACATGCCCTAGAAAAAGGTTTCCAACAAGAGCTGATCATTCATGATTAATGCCAGCGTACCTTGAAGAAGACACCACAAAAAAGCTGCTTTTGCTACGGCAAGCTGGCTAGCGAGGCAGAATAAATTATTTAACCCTCCTGGTTGCTTGTTGTTAACATGCAAAAAGAAACGGTTACCCTTGCAAAGGCTGAGTGCCCCCAAAGCCTGTCGCACACTCACAACACACGCAGGCTGCCATGCCAGTTTGCTGCACTGGTGTACAATGGTCTGGATTAGGAACACTGGGTTGCTGTTGTTGGTTTTTCCTGGCATGGTTTCTGTGCCTGTGACAGCTGGGAGACAGAGATGGAGCCATAAGGAAAGATTCTCCTCCCAAGTTCCTTCCAACTGTTACAGGAATGTAGATCTGTGACAATTTCTCTAAGCAAGCAAGGAAGAATAACTTCCCTTTTGGGCATGGAAAAGCAGGAGAATAGTTCCATACAATAAAGCAGGGCGGGTGAATACTGCAAGAAAACCGCCCCCAAAGTTTTTCTTTGCTGTCTTATTCTTCCTGATAAGGTTTCCTGAGTGTCAGAAAATCCTCACACACACACACACCCCTGCAAAGCAATGGAAAATATTCCTTCCATTTGTAGCATGTTGCCAGAGGAGTTTTGCGTGTTTTGTTTGTTTGCCGTATCCCTTGAAATCATTTCCGACTTACGGAGTTCTTAAGGTGAACCTGTAACACGGTTTTCTGGGGCTGAGAGTATGTGACTTGCCCAAGGTTACACAGTGGGTTTCCATGGCCAAGCAAGGATTTGAACCCTGGACTCCAGAGTTGTAGTCTAACTCTCAAACCACTGCACCAAGTGGCTCTCAGTCAATCAATCAATCATTCAATCAGCCATCCTAAATCAGATCAAGAAACTTCATCCTTATACCAGCAATGGTGGCTGGTGACTCCCGTGTCAGTGGGGTGGTGAATCTATTCCAGGTTTTTGCTCGATTTAAATTCCTCCTCCTCCACCTCCTCCCACCTTTCTCCCAAAATTGGGACTTGAGGTGACTTGTTAAGAAGAACAATAGTTAAAAGTATACTAACTGTTTCTGGCTTATGGAGACCTTAAGATGAACCTATCATGGGGTTTGCTTGGCAGGATTGGTTCAGAGGAAGTTTGCCATTACCTTTCCCTGAGGCTGAGAGCATGTGACTTGCCCAAGGTAAACCAGTGTTTTTCATGGCAGGGCTGGGAATCGAATCCTGCTCTCCAGAGTCACAGTCCAATGCTCAAACAACTACATCAAGCTGGGTTCTCAAAAGAAAAATCAACCCTAAAATGTAATTAAATTATTAACAGTACAATAACAATTTAAACTTAGTAGATTACTACATGTGGATTTTAAATTGTGATTATATCTGGGGGGAGGAAGCAGCTTTGGAGATACTTATTGCATGACAACGCCTCCAAGCCATAGCTCCTGTTGTCTCCCAACCACGATTATGACATCCCTTTTCACTGATGGGGGAAACCCTTCAATGAGCTCTCAACAGCACAAGTCCCCAGGTGCGAAACGTCACTTCTGGGGCAGTTGTGTCATTGGTAGTTAAATTGTGTTAGTGTTTCCTCCTCTCCCCCGTTCCCACGTCTCCATCACTATTCCTAAGCAGCCTGGTTACCTTTCCCCCTCCTTCCATTTCTTCCCTTTAAAGAAACAAAAAACAAATTAAATTTGCAGCAGCAGAGCTTTGGAATTGTACAAAACAATGAAAATAAATATATTTAAATAAAATCCAGGGAGGCATACTGAGTAGGGCATAGGGCAGAATGGCAGGGTTAAGGGGAAGTCAGGAAGTGAGTGTGATGGTGGCAACATTCCCAGTTGTGCGATTGCAAAGATGTGCGATGATACACGAGTGCAAACAGGTGTAATTCTGTTACACTGACAAGCACGATTATGGCAAGAACAGGGCTCTCGCAGTAAAGGCCTTATACTTTAACACAGGGGTAGGCAACTTTTTTTGGTCCTGGG